TATATATATATATATATATATATATATATATATATATATATTGCTCAATACAAAGCCCAGTTGGATACATGAGGCTGATGAGGCTGAGGTAATTATTGATAAGAGGAGATCTGGAAGTTTCCATTGACCATATATTCCATATAAGTTAATGGTAAGAATTAAGTCCTTAAGAAATCAAGCCAGTATGAGTCCCATTGTCAGAAACACAGTGCTTGTTATATTTGTCTGACCTTGAGAACTGTGATGCGTTCTGGGGATCACGATTTAAGAATAACATTGACGACCTAGAGTGGATCAAAGAGGAAGCCTCATGATAACGACACAGGAGGGAGTCATTGCAGATGAGGCTCAGTTTGAGGACCTGTGATATAATCTGTCATGGGAAGACCTGGCTACGAGTATCCGAAGCGCGGTCACAGAGGACAGAACAAATAGCACACACTGAACTTTCAGTACATAAACCTGGGATCACCAGGTGCAAGTCACAGGTTCCCGGTCAAGCTAGCAAGCGCAAGCGGTCTGCCAGGGCCATGGCTGCTTTGTGAACTTGGCAGCCTGGAGGCAGAGATGGGAGGTGCCTCCGGAGAGGTGTTTGTCAGCCCCCTGGAGAGGAGCATGGCTTGTGGGCTACAGGACTCTCTTTCAGATGAGCCCCGCTCCCTTCCTGCTACAGTGATCCTCTCTGTTTGGGAATGCTGAGCGAGCCTTGGCGTAGGATGCAGGACACTGTGAGTCAGCTCTATGTGGGTAAGCGGTAGCAACAGAACATCTGTTTCCAAAAGGCAAATCTTTTTTTTGTTAGACTTCTCTGCTGAGGACCGCCATACTGTTACAGAATAGCTGTACATCTCAAAGCCAGACTGGGTTTATCCGCGGTAGCTAAAACTATCCTTTACTCTCTAGCTGATTGAGAGTCTCAAGCAGCAGTCTTCTCAGATGCAGACGGTAGCTCTAAGGATTGTCTTTTTTTCCTGGCCTGCTTCTGTTTCTCTGAGAAGGCCAGGACCTCCTCACACCCACCCACCCACCCACCCACCCAGCCAGCTCTAATCTCACTCAAGCGTCCCCTTGGGCTCCACACCACTTAAGAGCGAATTCCCAGCGGAAAGTGTTGGCCTTTACAGCTATCTTAACAGCTTGTTATATTCCCGTCCCTAGGCATGGGCTGGCGGGGAAGGGCCAAGCATCTGCCAAGGGAGCTGAGCCAGGGCCTCCTACCTTGACAGGTGAAGCATCTGATGTGGAAGTGGTTGTTGTGGACGCGGACCACTTCTCCTTTGCAGGTGTCTCCACAGCGGTAGCACTGGATGACATTGGAGCTGCCCCGGGGACTGTAAGGAGTCTGCTGGTAAGGAACTGGAAAAGGGAACAAGAGATCACTGTCTAGGAGGTTCTAATTCTTGGAAACGTCAGTTGTTAGTCATCATAATCTTAACTAGGAGAATAAGAAGTAGGACGGGTGGAAACTATCTCCCCACCAGACAAAAGTCCCCAGCACATGGTATATGCCTGACTGAGTGCCTCTGAGATGAGCCCATGAGCCGCCTCCAACAGGCAGAGACTCAGGCGTGCACATAGCCTTTCCTTGCGACAATAGAAGCCGAACTGTTGAATGAAGAGACACGAAAGAGGAAAGAGTGTGCTCACGTGCTGTATAAAGTCTGGGCCAAGGTCAGATCCCTGACAGGGGACCCTTGGCATCAGGATGGAGCTGGAAAGGCCCTATTGCCCCATGATGCTCTGGCGGAGTGACGCTTCAGAGCAAGGCGTTAGTCATGCGTGTGATACTGCTATAAACAGACCCACTGCATTGCCAGCCCCGGAAAGCGCACACGGTCATGTATGGTACAGAATATTTGACAATGATACTAAGGACTGTGTCTCCTATACTATATATTTTATTGTTACTGTACAGCCCAGCTCCTTAAACTGTGGATCAAAGCCTCAGATGTAGTCATGCAATTGAGCCGAAGAGGGTTGAAAAAAAAAATCTGACAACAGTAAAAGACTTCTGAACGTGAAGCAAAGAAAAGAAAATGAATCCAAACTCAAATGTGTTATGAATCTAGCTGTTCCTGGCAGCGCTCACCTGTGTTGCCCTGTGGGCCTTTCCCGCAGGCTTGGTTTGGAAAGATGCTAGGGGCACGTCCCCTGCGCATGCCCTTCTACTCTGCAGTGCTAATGAACGCTGCTTCTAACACCTTGGCTCAGATTTGAGACCATGGTATGTTCTGTACTATAGTGGTTTTACAGATCTACAAGGCTTGCTCCTCTCATAGAAACATAATAGTTTAATTACAGAGAGCAAAGACTTCTGCTTCTTTCCAACGGTCAGGCCCGAGCATGTAAGTGGCAAATGAGTTTATCTTTGGGTCATACGGTGTTAGAACATTTTAAAAACTTCCATAAAGAAACTGTTGAGTCAATTTTGACTTTAGATTGAGGCAGAATTTCCAATGATTTCTGAAATGGTTGTAACAACACTTTAGCCGTTTTATACAACATATTTCTGCAAAGTGCCACTATTAACCCTGGGTAGTGCTGGAGAGATCTCCTCACTGTTAATCTTCTGTTTAGACCTACTCATGATTACTTTTGAGATCTACTTCCCATGAGATGTAATGGATTTAACCACCCTAAAGTCTTGGAAATTGAGTAATAGGTACCTGCCTAGACCACAAGACCTCAGGGTTGAAATGCCATTTGCAGCCATCTGATGTAACCTGATAAAGAATTTTGCCTTTGAGAAATCCAGTCTCTCTTATAGGTGGCCTTAGTGGTCTTTGATGAAACATCATTCAGTTCCTTTATTTCCACTCAAAGTTGGAGACATAGTTCAAAACCATCTGTTCATATTCTGTTAGAAGGATCAGCCTTGTTCTGAAAACACCACTTACACACGTAGACTTCACGGGTTATAAGTTTGCCTGGACTCTTAAACTACAGAGGGGATCTAAAGACCAAGGTTCTTGACCTAGTGCAGTTGTTGTCTGTTCACTGGCATCTGGGTGCCTTCTAGGCACATGAAGAGTGCACATGGTGACTTGTGGCAATGGAATCTCCATGGAGATTGTGTGTGTTCCTTCGAGGGGAGAGTACTTGATTTGCATATTGCTGATCTCTTCACCTGGCTATAAGTGGAGGAGGTGTTGATGGTGTCCAAGATGTTGGAGCCTGGATCCATGCATACGCATCCCTCATGAGCAAGAACAAATCTTGGTTCTCATGGCCTCCAAGACTTGGTTACGGCAGCACAACCGAGACAGTTTCTAACTGGTGCATCTGGCACCTGATATTTTCCCTAACTAAATTTGGTGTTACCCACACCACCCTCAAGCTAGTTTCATAATCAGGAGGTCTATAATCTCTTCAACTCATCTCATCCACTCTTCTCTTTTTAATGACAAGAGAACAGGGTCTCTGTCTTTCCTAATTACAAGTGTCCTGAATTACAAGGGTCCTGTAGAACAAGGACCTGGCTGCTTAACTCTGAAACTGGACTCTCAGAGCTTTGGTAACTAGGGTGGAAGAAAAAAAAATCATTTTTTTTTGTTAAAAATCGACAGTTTCACTGGTCTTGAACTCATCATTTTTCTGCCTCTGCCCCTCAAGTGCTAAGATTATAGGCATCACCAAGATGCCTGGCTCAATTTCATAATGCCTCTCTCCATTACTCATTTTTTCTTTTCTGTCTTCAGTTGATAAATCAAAGAAATGCATTCATTAGCCAGGTAAAGAAATCATTAACTAAATTTGAATGAGTTAACATGGAAAAAATGCATTCGCTGCCCTGCCAAAGGCTGAGAAATGACTCAATGGTTAGGAGTACTTCACCCACGGCATGCAGCTCTCAATCTCCTGTAGCTCCAGCTGCAGAGAACCTGACATCCTCTTCCGGTCTCTGTGTGCACACATGCATGCACCCAGGTGTGTGTGTGTGTTCTGGAAACATGGACTGGAATCATGGCCACCGTCTCTCCACAGCTCAAAACAATTCTCCTCACTTAGAACATCTCATGAAACATTCCCTTGAGTCCAAGCCCTTCTCTTTCTTTTCTAACTTCTGCTCAGTGTCCTCTAGAAAATATTACACTCCCCCCTCCTCTCTGGCTCGTGAGAAAATATAAATCCTGCTCATATGAGCAGCATGGTGGTATACCCCTGCCAAGGGAAGCAAAGCTGTGAGCCTGAAAAATGAAATAAGAACAAATAGTACAGCCATCCCCACCAGCGAGGAAAGCTTGGAAGGCTGTCAAATCCCCACCAGACCCACAGCACATGTGCTCATCTACAACTTCTGATTTAATCTCTTTTCTAATTCAAGGACCTCCATTCAAGAGCAATTCATTTTTTTTTCTAATTTAGGGAAGGGTCTTTGTGAGCTTGGTCCTCCAGAATTCAGTCTTGAGCCTGATGAAAAGAGAGAAAATTAGAGGGGGTGGAGGAGGAGAACAGGCCGCTGTGAGCTGGGACTTCACTCTGTCCCTCCGTCCCCACCTCCAGGATTGGATGCTGCTGGGATGATGGGCACGGTCAAAGCTCCAGGAGCGTGTGATGTCTCTAAGTACATCATTAGCGGAAATCCAGGCACCCCCGGGAGAGCTCTTCCAGGCTGCCGATAGAGGCTGATTATAAAAGGGTGCTGTGACTTGATCTTTTTTTCAATACTAGAGAGTGTCAACAGACCTCTGGGGTCAGGGATGCTGGGCTGAGATAGGCCGCTGATGTCCTTGCCTTGGCAGCGATCTCATTTCCAGGGAGATTTTGTATTTTTTGGCTAATTAGATTAGGAAATTAACCTAACAATATTCTTTGTGTAGGTGTGTATAGGGACATGTGGAGAACACGCCCCCCCCATCTGAAGCTCCTGTAAAACGCTGATTTATCTGGATTTTCATCGTGATACCAGCAGACAGAACCTGGTGCTTTGCATGCGTGCGCTCAACAAGCTCAGTCACTGACCTTTCCCATCCCCCAAATGATGGGATCTGACTTTCTGATTTTCTCCTGGTCATTCTCTCACCCCACCTTTTCAAACCCATAAAGTAGGGAGGTGCACCTACAGGATTTATTACGTTGATTTTATGGGTAAAGGTCTTTTAGATTCCAAGTTGATCCACATACAGATTCGCAAACTACCTCAGGTGTAAGGAACCTGTCCTTGAGAGCATCATTTGAGGGTGGTGACAAGCCTTTGGGAAAGTAGTTCTGTTTGCTTGGGATGTAATCCCTGGCATTGCCAGGTTTAGGCAATATAGATTATGTGATATGCCCTCAACATACTTCTAGGAACCTCTGATTTCTTTTAGAATTATTTAGGCGAGAGTGACCGCTGTTGCCAGCCCTCAGAAAGTGCTATCTAGTGGTGCATGCCAGGCTGGCAGACGACAGCCTCTATCTGCATTGTCTAGTACACTAGTTGCCAGCTCTATGTAGCTGCTGGACATCTGAAATGTGGCTAGCATGACTGAGTTTTGTGTTAATCTTAATTTTAATTAATATAAGCTTACATATAAGTAGCCATAGGTGGCCAGTGGCTAACATATTGGACAGTGCAAGTAACAGTTTCAAAAATGCAACATGAGGCAGAAGAAATTAAGCCTGGTTGAGTTCTGGCAATACAAAAACAGCTCATATAAATTATCTTACAGATACTACCTTTGACATAAACTATCTCTCTCTCTCTCTCTCTCTCTCTCTCTCTCTCTCTCTCTCTCTCTCTAGGTTTCTATGAAGTTTGGAGGTTAGCCTAGAACTCAGAGAGATCCTCTTGCCTCTGTCTCCTGAGTGCTGGGATTAAAGGTGTACACCATCACACCTGACACAAATTATTCATTTTTTTATCCCCCAAAGTTTTAAAGTTGTATTAAAACACACACACACACACACACACACACACACACACACACACACACACACCCTGAATTTGATATGGAAACGATAGGTTCTGAGCTGTGTAAAAAGCACTGATTTTTTTGGCCTGGAGAGACAGCTCAGTGGTTAAGAGCACTGGCCGCTCTTCCAGAGGACCAGGGTTCCATTTCCAGCAAATGTGGGTAGCTCACAATCATCTGTAACTCCAGTTCCACAGAATCTGATGCCCTCTTCTGACCTCCAGGAGCACTCCATGTACGTGGTACACAGAAATGTATTGAGGGACATACACATTAAAAATTATATATATATATATATATGCAGATGACACAATTTTCTTCTATTTTATGGTTAAAATGAAATAACTGCCATTGTATATACATATATCTATAGCTATCTATGTATCACATTTTCTTTATCCATTCACCTGTTATTGGACACCTAGGCTGGTTCTTTGACTTGGCTCTAGTGAAAAGTTATTT